ACAGAGAAAAAAAAAAAAAAGAAGAAACAGATTTAACATTAATCGTAGAAAATAAATCGAAGCGATTAGATTATTATTATGCGAGTATGTATTTTACAACATTGCCAAAACGATTTTAACGCCCGCTAAATTTCTTCCTTTTTCATCATTTTTACGATGTGTAGATGTAGCAAACAATTCCTTCCTGTATGAGATCGTTTGATCCTTTCAGAAACAAAGATTGTTTTTTAAATGCCCAACTATTTCCTTAGAGTGAACTTTTTCACGATTTAATGTAGTAAATTGTAATACAGTAAAACAGATATAGTTACGAAAGCTGAAAGGATTAGACGTCTAAAAATTTAGTATCGAATCCTTTCGAGTCTGCGTGATACCGATTTTCGTTTTTCTTACAATTACAATATACGTTTTACTACTTTGTTAATAAAAAAAAGAAAAAAAAATAAAGGATAGACTCGAAATGGTTAATTGAAAAAGGACATTTTTAACGGTTGGAGGAGTTACAAATTCGTCGTGCCTTTGTGTCGTCGCGATCTGGCATTTTGTTCCTTCATTTGTACTACGACGTAAGATATTCATAGACAAATATTTCATTTATAGACTTACGTCGAAGCACACACACTCGATTCTTATTCGGTTTCACCATCAACGAACCAAGTTTACTGTTTCCAAAACGATCACATCTCATACTTAGGTGATTGTGTGTACTATTTCTGTATAAAATTAACTATTTGTAGATATTTAGTTATTGTCGTTATTTTAATTGGGTTATTTGTAAAAATAAAAGGTATTTAATGAAATATTTAATGGAGAGATACGCTTGTTTATAGCTGTGTTTAATATATTTAATTTCACTTGAATTTATCAGCTATATTTTCTTGTTTTTTTATGATTAAATAAATAGATGAAATTTGAGATATATATATATATAAAATAATATATGTATTAACAATCCTTGTTTCTTTGTCAAGATGTATTATTTATAATTACTATGTAAGATGGACCTTTCAATTTTAACTTAATAATAAATGTAAATGTGTAAAACGAGCAGTTCTACGAATAATTTGTTTCGTTCTTGGTGAAATTGAAATTGTAAAATATCATTGACGAGTGCCAAAACATCCAGCTTGTTATAATCGGCACAAACGATCATTGCTAAGTCATTATAATGGAGAAAATTGTCGAGGAAAGTTTTACTTATTATTTTTATTACTCCAGTACGTTGAGATGAATCAAGAACATTCTGTTATGGAACTCAGTACATTGAATCACATACAATACAGCGCTTTTTAAATCTGCCACCGGTAGGCAAATACGTATTTATCTAAGTCTTCAAGATGTTAACGTAAACTCTAATTGTCAAGAGCTACTAAGCGTTAGTTATTAAAGCTCTGACTTAAAAAGGTGACAGACAAACTTAATGACAACAGAGAACAGAAGCTCAAAAGTTTTTATTAGGACTTTATCATCACCTAATTGAAAATTTTGACGATTTTGGACAGCAAATATAGATAATTCAATAAATATTCACTATTGGAATTGAAGTAATCAGTTATTCTCAAATATTAACCACAGAACAAACATTAATATAAAATAAAATTTTATATTAGCAGCAAAATAGTGACACAGAAATAATAAATAAGTTAACAAGTTACGATAAATATATGCAAGTGTTTTTTCAAGAAGAAAGGGAAAATACCCACCGGTAGGCATAAAAATCATAACGTAACCAATGGAAATGATTGCGTTTAAAATGTTTATCTTTCAAACGCGAGCCAAGATACACAAAGATCGGTAGGTACCTTATGAAATACTATATAACATTTACAAACATTTTGAAGGCATTGGCAACTCGTTTTTCTGTTTCAACCGATCAACTTTTTCATGTGTATGCAAATACGGTAATACTTGTAGCGGGCGATCGGTTGAAAGTGATGAAATTAGAAATCAGATGTAGGCGGAAAGAGACGACAAATTTGTATATACAAAGTTATCAGTAATTAGCGTGAAAAGAATTTTATATGTACAGGACGGTTCAATGCATCCATTTGTGTTCTTTATTCATAACAATCTCTTGCATGTCTCCGCTATGCCTTTATCTATTTGTGTATTTATTATGTTATACATATTTATATTTTACCTCAATAATCTATGTATAGTACACATTCCAACATTCATTCTTTTTAATTGTATGAACTGGTTCACGAAAATGTTTAAACTCATACCATATCAGATAATTCTTATTTCCATATTTCATGTATTATATAAAATATTTTGAAATTTGCTTAACATTGTAACAAGAGACGATTGTCTTGATTATATTGATAAAATTTGAGTAATTATTCCTAACAGAAACAACTTCATATATATATATATATATATATATATATATATATTTAATGATACATCGCTTTTTAGGATTTAAATTAAATTTCGAGTTATATTTGCCTAAATTTACTCATATATTGTATTATTAACGCTACATATTTAAGTTTGCCTAACCCAAACCTATTCCAAGCTTAATTAACCCAAGGCAGATAATTGGCTGTCAGAATATTTTTATAATCTTTGCAAAACATATGCTTATACTAAATAGATGATTTTTATATAATCTTTTAAATTTGTTTTAAACTTTGTCAATATTACCGTGATAATTCCATAGCAATGGGAATTAATGAAATTTCAAAATATTTCATATGGTACACATAATATATTTGTTATGGAATAAGTGATTAATAGGAGCATTATTTATAATGTCTAGTCATTATGAATTAAACAAGATTAGATACTGTAATTAATTTCTTAAACCTTATTCAAAAGAAATATAGTTTTGTTCATAACATCTGATTAATTTGACAAATTAATTAATAATTGCATGGCTATTTCAATCATTACTTGTAATGACATAACTAACGACTCGACAGTCATTTACTAGTTAGTTACTCGACATTTGGTAAAGGAATCTGCAAGTGTTCGAATAGTTTCGTGAACCCGTGTATAGCTCATGTTTCAAATAAAAAAAGAAAAAGTATTTGGTTAAAGAAAAAAAATTTTATGATGAACTCTGCAATAGAATTGGATTTACCCTTATTAAGTATGATTAAGAATAAGTTAAATAGTGCATTTCCGGTCAATTATCAGATTGCTTCGAATCACACTGACAAATATCGAATTTCCAATTTGATGTATAGAGGCTCATAATAAATATTAAATAATTAATTGAAAACGAATCTTGGAACGTGCAATATGGGATAAACTTTCTCAAGTTTGGGAAGATCTTCCAGAAATAGGTAAAAGTTTATAAATTTTTTTCATAAAT